GCTTATTTCAAATGTTTCCTTTAAATTCTGAGACTTTGCGTTTCAAGTTTGCCGTCTTTGCCGCAGTTGCCAGCAAATTAAAAATTCTAATTTCTTTGAAAGCATCTTTTATTGCAAATAAAATTTGTAATTATTCTGCATTTTTGGTGAATCGATTTGCGGTCTGATTGGAATGATTTTTTGGCAAAGGAAAAGGCGCTTATTTTTCGAAACTTTGTTCCACATTTCTGCATTGGCAATTTCGTTACGCAAATAAAGTTTTTAATTAATTTTTTCTAGAAGTTTTTATAATATATTTATGTTAAAATATTTTGTCAAAGGGAATTGTGAAGGCTTAAAAGGTTTAAGGGAACCGATTTGGTTTCATTATGCTAAATTTTCCACTTGATCTTAAATATACACCACAATTTCTCAGCAAATCTGATTGGATGGCTTATATCTAGTGTAACGGCCCCTGACAAACCGAAATCCGTCAGAGCCAAGCATTATGAGTAATTGGAAACTTCAAATTTTTCTAGCGGTGTTTCAATCCTTTCTGAGGCTTGCTTAAAGTGATGACTCGTAAAACTTTTCCAAGGTTAGAAAGAATAAGCATGAACGACTGAGCTATGCGGAGCCTTAGCTGCTTTATTGGACAAATCTGCGAAGAATAGACTCAAAATTTCGAGGAAAACATGAGTGAAAGGAATTTTCTATGCTCTTGACAAAAATGACTGACAAAATATTACACAAACAATATTAACTTATCCTTACGAATTTATGACTATACTTGCAAAACTGTGAGTATAGCAACTCTGAAGGTCGTAGAATGTTAAGCAGCCCTTGTAAAGTGAAGTCTTACACACATAGATTTTGTTGGACGAAAAAACCACCAAATCAGAGGAAAGGTGAGAGTCTCTGAGACGAAATTTTTAGCCAAACCTGTCTCCTACATTATTGTTAGACTATTTACGAAATACCTAAGGAAAAATAACTCAAATACATCAATAATTTAAAGATAACTCATATAGAGAATGAATCTTAAGATTTTTGCTGAGAGAAACTTTATTGTAATGAGTCAAGCCCTACTGGAAAAAGATTTTATGATTATAAATTATATACATATAGAAATGATCAATGTGACGAGCTAAGTCATTTTCTCCATTACCGTCTGCCCGTTCGTCTGCATACACACGAACTAGTCCCTCAGTTTTTAAGATATCGTTCTGAAATTTTGCACCCGTCCTATTCTCACCAAAAAGCTGCTCATTTGCTGGAAAGGCCGATATCGGACCACTGCAACATATACCTGATATCTTCATGAAATTTTAGATGAAATTTTGTTCAAAACAACGGTGCAATCTCCGAAGAAATTGTTCAGATTGGAACCCTATAGCATATATAATACTTGTATGTAGTTGCTTTACAAACTCAACGATCGGAATCAAGTACCTGTATGGAAAACTTTTTTATTTGACGAGATATTTTCACGATATTTAGCATGGGTTATTGCCTAAAGCATCGGTGCAATCTTTGAAGAAATTGTTCAGATCGAGTCACAATAACATAATGCTGCAAACTGATGCATCGAAATTATCGTAAATCTTTTGTATTTGTGAAGGGTATTATAGCTTCGGTGCAACCGAAGTTAATGTTTTTCCTGTTTTCATATGTTTTCATATTTGCCCTCGAATAACCTATTTTAACATTTTTATATTAACTTATTAGATTCAAAGTAAGTGAAATATACTTTTTTTTCAACGACATAACCTCAAAAGATCTACAGCAAAGCTCGATATCAAGAAACATAATTTTCTTTATACCCACACACTTAGTAATTGTAAGTATGTATGCATGTCAGTGTACTTGAGCTCCACACACAATCCATTTACACTAGAGCCAGTCGTTGTTCATTGCACTGCCCGCAGCATGAGTGGCCCGGGTCATGCATATTTACATACAAACACAAGTGTGTATTTCAAGCAAAACAAATAGCAAACCACTCGAGTTCTCGAATCTCATGGCTGTTATTGATTTTCGCAAGTTTACGAGTATTGTACGTTTTAATGTTGCACGCTCGGGATGTTCGTTATTGAAGGCGAAGGCCCTTACAGAGCAGTCGATGGAGCCAATGTCGACAATGCCATATTTGAATGCGCGTCGCGCCACCTCAAGCAGAAATGCGAGACAGCGAACGCCTGACTGACTGACGTGCTGGCGCAGGCGGCCACAATTAACAGGAAAGGCAACTAGGCGCATGCGCATGCACACCATTGTAGCTGGAGTAGTAAGTGACTTATCTGTTCTTGTTGCCGGTATTTATGTGTATGTTTACCAGCTTAAATGGCAATGGCGACTGCAACATTTCTTAGCCGTTTATGGCTGTCGGGCTGGTAGGTTACACCGCTTTCGTGGCAAGTAAAACTTAAGCGCCGTGGATAATGAAATTTTCATTTTAACACGATGGGCGCGTACAGAAATCCTTTTTGGGCTGAAAAAGCCTTCGAAACGCTTCAACTATGTGCTAGACAAAAAAAGACAGAAGTAAATACATGAAATTACTTACCTCCCAAGAGGCTCATAGAACTTTGAAGTAGGATAGCCAGATCGTAGAGAATGCTTTAGCCAACAAAGTATGGGAAAATATTCAGCATAATTAATTTTTTATTTTAATGCTTGTTAAATGGAAATATGGTTTAATTGCTGGTACTGTGTTCTTTTATACCAACCAAGCTGAAAATGATTTACTAGAAGGCATTAATGAGATTTGCGAGGCATGCAGTCGAATGGAATATATTTCATTTTGAATGCGTCTTTTCAGGAATGACACCCATTTTTCCATAGCAAATATGTTGTTGATCAGAAGCACAGTAAATGTATTTATAAGTACTTTCGAACTCTGTTCTCAAGACCTGCATTATGTATATTTAAATAATCTTAAAATTGTGTAATTATCATATACATATTTCACCGAAATCGATCGAAAGAAGTTGTTTCTTCCCTTATTTTGAGGGATTTTCTTTTTTTCAACTTACAAATGTAGCCTTACCACCACATACCAGCTGAATTCATTGAGTATCGTCCGATCTGGATCTTAACAGAATTTTATAAGAGTCTCTTAACTGAAAACAATTACAATTATCAAGATAGAAAGATTTTCAAAGAAATAAAAGGAGAAGAACTCGCTCCTACTTTTCTCCAATTTAAAAAAAAAATTAAACAATCAACTAATTTTATAATTGGTTGGTTGGTTGGTTGAAACAGGAGGCGCGAGAGCGCTAGACCGCAGGCAGGCGCATTTAAACCATCATTAGGTCCATTGAGCTCCCGAGTGGTTTCAAAATTAAGCCCTATTCCGCAACTCGGTGGATTTGGTAGAACACCTGATTGTTTTCCACCCCAGCTGCCTAATGTATCTTAAGTTGGAACATTGGGAGCCGTGAAATATGTCTTGTCTTATAAGGGTGGAAGGGCATTTGCAAAATTCGAAAGGTGAGATCTTCTTGGTAGGTGTCCTGTTATGACCTGCGATGATCCTAATAGTAGAAGCTTTTGGGTCTGTTGTCCTACATAAACACTATCCCAATGTACCTTTGTGGTATGCCCTGTGTTGCTAGTGTACTCTTAGGGTTTATTGCTTCAAACAAACCATGAAGGAGCTAAATGGTCTGGGGCAGTTTAGGGGAATTGTCTTCCCAACGGGCGGGGCAACTCGTTTGCTTTTTCATATCTTTCAATATATTTTTATATGCTATATATGTGGGTGCCCAGATGATATTAATCGAGTTACCTACTGAGAGTCTAGTTATTGCCTGCTTGCATAACCTAATGTAGTGAGACTTAGTATTTGGGGCTATGTCTAGCATTAATTGCCCCTTGGTTGTCCACTAAAAGGTTTATGGACTTGATGTTTAGAGCAGAAGTCCACTTGGCAGCTTCTGTTACGCCAACACTTTCGCCTTGAAAGACTGAATTGTAGTCATTTAGTTTGAAGCTCCTTTCTGCGTATGGATTTCTACAGAAGAAGCCGGTTCCTGTTCCTATTTTACCCTTTGATACATCTGTGAATATACAGATTTCACCGTTGGAACTGTCGATCACAAAACCACCATTGATTCATTCATCTCTACGAAAGAATGCAAACGTTGTGTTTAATTCCTCATGGATCTCCATTTCACGGTCGCATTGCCAATTTAGCCCGAATTCATTAACAAGGTCGAATATGATACCATGCCCGTAGTAATGCTGAGATTAAAATCATAAGCCGACTGGCCATAAGCATTGCCTATTACTTCATTTGAATTGCCTCGATATCGAGGATAACCAGAGGCTTTGTTAATGTGCAATTAGTATTACATAAAGAATAACTTATTTATAAGGTCTGAAACTACCTGATGAAAAAATGAAAAGCTTAATTTTTTCGCCATAAAGTTTGTAACACACAGAAGGAAACATCGGATCCTATAAAGTAAATATATATGTATAAATGATCAGCGTGCCAAGCTGAGTCAACTCAGCCATCTCACTCAGTTTTTAAGTTATCGATATGAAACTATGCACACGTCCTTATCCCCCAAAGAAGCTGCTTATTTGTCGGAATTGTCGATATCGGATCACTATAACTATAGAATGTAGCTGCCATACAAACTGATCAATTAAAGGTAAGTTCTTGTATGAAAAACTCTTAATTTGATAAGATATCTTCCCAAAATTTGGCATGGATTATTGTTCAAGACAATGCTACAATCTCCGAAGATATTGTTTAAATGCTTTTATGCATAATCTAAATATTTCATAGAGCGCTTATTCTGTGATCCTCAATATCCCAATGTACGCGCTCTATGACTATTATAATGAATGTGAGCTTGGTAGCCTCATACACTAACAGTTTTGATTTCTGAAATTAAATACCTCTAGGAACTTTCTAAATAGTTACAAGGAAGGCTCCTTTAAAGTCAAAAGAAAATCAGATACCTTAATAATTTTTTTTTTCAAATTCATTATTTTTAATAAAACAACTTTTACGATTTTCATATTTTTAAAAAATTTAAAAAACAAATCACAATTTTTGCCGTTCTTCACACCCGTTGACTATAAGTTCGTTTTTACAAGGCATTAATCAATAAACAATTTGTTTACAACAACTACAAACTTTTAATTCCTCTAGGCTTCTCTTGTGAGCTCTTCCACGGCAGTAGACTGCTGTTGCCTTAGCTCCAACCGAGCGCTTAGCTTCCTCAAAATGTTTGTTGTAATTTTTATAGCTTGGTCGTCTTTTTTTTGTGTTTTATCTTTTTATGCTAAGCTCGTGCAAAAGTATAATGTGTTTTTGTTATTGTTGTACTTTTTGATTTGTGTGTTTTTATACGATCGCATTGATTGATTGCGCACACCTGTGAGGTTTTAAAGGTTCGTTGTCTCGCGTTGAAGGTGCCTCAAGTCGTGGCTTTAATTTGTGGCTGAAAGGTAAGAAAAATGCTGATGCGTTCGTTAATTTTTTTTCAGTTTTTTTTTTTTTTTTTTTGCTGTTCTTGTTATTCTTTTCATTGCCGACTCTCGAAAATGCTGTTAGCAATAAATTTTTGTGGTTTGCGTTGGTGGCGTTGACTGCTCGACTGCTCAATTGCTTGAACTGATGTGGTTATCCGCATTGCTATTGTTTGTTGTTGCTGTTGTGGTGGGGAATTTCTGTAATCTTTTACCATCGCACTCCACTTATGACTTTCACAATTCATTTCTACAACTCATCAGCAAAATGTATTTATGTGGGTATATTGAGTACTGGAGCCTTTTATTGGGTTTGCGGTTCAGCGTTCATGTGACTTGAATTTAAGCGAGCAAGTGGTGAATTTATCAGAGTTTTTCGGTGATTTTTAAATATATAAAAATTTATACCAAGCAAAATTCGTTCAGTGCACATTTCATGAGGTCAGTTATATATATGTATACAGATGAGATTTAAGAGAATATATTTCCAACTTTTGTTGGTAAGATTTTTTTAATGGTGCCGGTGTCTAAGGAGATCCCTTGACTATAATTACTTTGCTATATTTAAATCTTTGTTTTATTAGTCTCAATGACATGACAAACCGAAGGTGTAAAATTTCTTCGAAATCGTCAACAGATTGGCCTCTGTACCTGGAAAAAGATCTGGCAAAGTAAATATGCAAAAATCATCTTTACTCCTTATTTTTCCTAGTGATTTACATTTCCATCCATTAGCTCCAGTATGATAAGGAAAGGAAGGATGGTATTCATCTCTAAGGAATTTCTGTGTTTGAGGATAATGATTCCATTGGCTATAGTACCTGAAATTTTTAAGTAAAAGAGGTGAAGATCCAAAAAAAGGTGACCTGAGTATGTTATCTTGTAGTCCAGACGATTTTTCTCTTTAGAAATTTGATGATATGACGCGTCTATTTTAGATTTTATTATAGCTTATCCGCTATGCTATTTCTCATTTTTAGGAGAAATGTCATACCTCATGAGCCCTAAAAGAAACTATGCTTAACTTAACAATACTTAACTTAATATCAGTGATACTATCGAAACGAAACTTTCCACGAATGAAGTCTTTGACATATGGCAAACTCATATAATATAAAAAATGTAACAGACCTATCTACACCTCTTTTAAACCCCATAATCCAATCTCTCCTACGGAATCATTGAAAATGTTGAAAAAGTGTGTTGGAGAGTCTACTTTATCACGAACACAAGTATTTGAGTGGCACAAAGCATTCAGTGAAAGCGTGAATCATCAAAACTTGACTTATGCGAGTCATCCATCCACTTTGTTAATGGCAATAACATAGGTTAGTTAAAGAAACAGTGCTTTAAAATCGTCGTATAGGAACTAGAGAGATAGCAGAGGTCAGCATCAGGTTCAGCATATCTTCAGAATCGACTAAACACATTTTGGTTAATGGTTTGGTTATGAAGCGTGTCAATGCTAGACTTGGGTGGGACATATAATAGGTGAGGGAGCAACACAATTTTATTCAATTCATTCTTTCTTTTTTTAATTTCTAAGGCCGGGACGGCAGGGACGCTTAATTCGGAATACGGACTGTCCCGGCCAAACCGGGACGAATGGTCAGCTAATGCTGGACTCACCCAAAGACCTAAATCTTTTGCAAAAAGAACGTCGAGTAAAGGTGCTTGACAACGTAACTGAGAACCCTACATTCTCCAAAAGCATTATTGCTGGTGATGAGACATGATTTTATGAATATGACTGTCCAACAATCTAGCGAATGGCGCTCCAAAATGAGCTGAAACCGAAAAAACTAGAACTCGCTGAAAGATCTGTAGGGCATCCCAGCCGAAACGAGAATTCAACATGCTGTATGGAAAATTGGATTAATCGTTGGAATGCTTGTATTAGCTCGAAAGAAGCTATTATGAAACCCATAATAAAGATTTGCATTAAAATATTTTTTGTTTTTGTCAGATCGGGTCAAATTTGATCAGATTGTATTTTTTTACATCATTAACACATTATTTTATTTATAACTAATTATCTTTGTTGCTAAATGCTTAAACACAACACATGTATAGTATGGGCATAACTATGCAAAATGAGGCTCCTAGTATTTAGAGCGTGACCCCCATTCGAAATGTGAAATTTCCACTTTGATTTTAACCGCGCTTACAAACACACATACACATATACAAGTACGAAACAACAGCTGTGCCAATCATGTATTTGTAGTTACATTTGCTTTTATGTGATTAGAATACATACCACGTGTACTCGCAAAGCATAAGTACACACATACATACATACATGTACGCACATAAATGTATTTTTTTTATGTTCTGAGCATTGGAATGACATTCATATGCTAATTCCAATTAAAATCAAAGCCCAGCTCGTCGCTCGAAACACTTGTTCGAATGTTCAGAACCTACCTCCCCCTCCCGCCGGCGCACCAGCAAGCATTGATAAGTACAAAATCAAAGCCATAGCGGCAGTAAACTCGGCAGCGTCACCCAAGGCAATTGTTGGAGCGTCAATTAAAAGTCACAAAACTTAAGGAAAAATTAAATTCAACAGCCAACGATCTTAAGTACCAAGCACAGAAGTAGTCGTGGAAGAAGAAGAAGCAGAGCAGTGAAGAAATGCAAAACCTCGGAACTGCTTAATATGCCAGGCAGCTGCGACGCGCCGCACGGCTTCATGCACTCACAATTTATGTTCAGCGTTCGATATGGAATTCATACTCGGCTTTAAAGCGCGCATGTGTGCTTGAGTGTGCATGAGGGGAAGCGAAGAAACTCTTTACACTTTAACGGGCCCTACAATTCAGTTATGGGCTTTTCACGCGCGTCAATCAAATAGCGCCTCCAACTAAAGCAACAGCCATTACGTACATGCTTGGCTCTTATTTTTGCTGTTGTAGTTGTTGTGCTTATTTTCATTGCTGTGAACGGCCATTGGATTGTGCGACGCGGCGGCACTGCTTCACTTATGCAGGTGTTCACTGTCACAAAACGCGCAACAACTAATTAACTGAAGAATGCGTACTAATGGTGCGCAGTGTTGTTGTTGTTCGTGTGTATTGTTGTTGCAGTTGTTCGCTTTGTCTGCCATATTGGGGAGGCGCTTTGTTAAATATACGCCGCCACCGACTGCCTGTATGTATGTATGAGGTGCTGGTGGCGCGCCAGTTGCCCAAAATGGTCATTGCCTGTATGGAGACCAGTTGGTATAGCAACAGTGGCAACAACAACAACAAATACTACAACTATGGAAATTTACAATGAATTTGGTAATGGCAACATACATTGCTGTAATCAGCGGCAAAAAAAAACGTTGTCATTTGTAGTTGTGTTTCGCTGTCAGTGTGGCCAGAGTGAAACAATTTTTTTTTTTAACTTTTTTTATTTATTTTTCTAAATAATTTTCAACTTTTTGTTTAATTTCTTAAAATATAATTTTAGTTTTTTCTGATTCGTCAGTGTTGCCAGAGTCTTATATATTTATTTTTTTAATTTATTTCTTTATTTTTTTCCTATTTTTTTATATATTTTATATTTTAAAATTTGTAATTTTTTTCTTATTCTTTTTCACCTTTTTTATTTCATTTTTACTATTTTTTCTCTTAACTTTTATCTTTTTATCATAATTTTAAATTCTAAATTTTTGTAAGTGTGGCTACAGTGATAAAATTTTTTTAACTTTTTTAATTTTTTATATAAAGTTAACTTTATTTTGAACTTTTTTTATTTCTTAAAATATAATTTTATTTTTTTCTAATTCGTCACTGTTACCATAGTCTTATATATTAATATTTTTAAACATTTTTTAATTTATTTCTTAATTTTTTTCATATTTTATATTTTATTTTATTTTTATTCGCTGTTAGTGTTGCCAGATTCATATATATTTCTTTTTATATTTTAAAATTTGTAATTTTTTTCTTAGTTTTTTCATCTTTTTTTATTTAATTTTTAATATTTTTCTCTTTACATTTATCTTTTTTTTCAATCAATACCAAACTGAATTGGAAAATTAGCATTGAAAAAAATAACAAATAAAGAGGCCTTAAACGAAATATATGTTAGTTATCATTAGGCCAATTCTAACATACGGAGCATTGTTTTAGTGACCAGCATTAAAGAAATACTATAATATCAGAAAACTAAGTGGAGTACGGAGAGCAGCCTGTGCAGGGGTTACGAGGGCTATTAAGTCATGTCGCACTCATGCGTTCAATATACTCCTGCATCAGAAGCCCATAGACGTCTTTACACGGAAAGTAGAAGCAAGCTCTGCTATAAGAATACAGAAATTAGGAGGTTGAAATAGGAAGATTATGGACATATACAAGTGTATAGCGCCATCCTGAACCCACAGGCAAACATTAGTAAATCAGACTATATTCTACTAAGGTTAGACTTCAACAGCCACTTTCGGGTGAGGATAGCCTCTAAACATCAATGGAGAAGAGGTTTAGTAGGAGAGAATGATGCAGCCTCTGTCTATACTGATGGGACCAAAATGGACTGGATTCATAGCGGATAGCCAGGCAGGACTGCTGGCTTTGTCGACGCCACAATTTTTTTTTTTTTATTAAATTTTTTATGATTAATTTTAAATTTTTTAATTTGGTTTTAATTTTTTGTAATTCGTTTTTTTTTGTCTTAACTTTTATTTAATGAATTTTTATGTCTTTGTATGTACCATGTATAGGTATATACATTCTCAGGTGCGTGTAAAAGTACTGCGCACATGCGTGTCAGCATCCCATTCCAATTTAACAGACAAAAGCGTAAGCGCTTCAATTGTTCGGCTTGGCGCAGCTGTGCGTTGGCGTGTACACAAAAGCGGTATCTAAAAATATAAATGTTTTGTTGTATATACATACATAGATACATACGAGTATATATGACCGCGAAAGCAAGGCTTACAATAGCGGTTGGGAAGCTTTTGAATTCTAGAAAAGTGAAAAAAATAAATACAAAACCCAAAATAAATAAACCTTTAAAGCAATCGCCGGCTCAGAATTTATATTGAGCACACATACACACATATAAAAATATTGATGTGTGCGTAAAATGACGTGCGCGATCGCAGCCGCAAAGCATACAGATCAACAGGTTACTGGCTGCTGGCCGCTCACAAAAGCCGCGTTGCTTATTGCCACAAAGCAAATGAAATTAAGTAAAAAGTGTAAAAGAAAAAACCAGCCAAACAGATGTGCTGACAACAACAACAATGGCATGCCATGCAAACTTATGACTAAGTATTTGCTGGCTATTTAAAAGCAACGCGTCGACGCGCATGCGTAATGCCCATCAGCGTTTCCAGCTCGACGGACTGTGCATCTGCCGCACAGCTGTGTGTGGGAACATTTTCGTATATTGCGTGGCTTGCTTGTCAAAAGCTAACTGCTATTCACTAGCCGCTAGCGGCTAGTTGCCTCTATCGCCACGCTCTGTCTTCGTTCACACTTTTCAACAGTTCATCATTCGGTTAATTTACACACTCTTTCGTTCGTTATACCGCAGCCCGTTGCTGTTCGAGTAGAATAATAAGTTGGCATTGTTTGAGATGGTGTGCTTTGTTCGCGCCGGACTCCCTCATTAGGTTTTCTAGGTTGTATGATGTATGTTACGTATATATGTATATGTACCATATATATTATTATGTACGTTATTAATCAAACACGGTTTTATCCCACGATATAAATTTCATACGTGTTGCAAGCGAATTAGCGCATACAATCTATACATAGGTCCTTTGAACTGTTATTCATAAGAATTATAGAGACGCTCTTTATAAAGGGGTCGAAATTTTTAAACTCAAATTCAGAGTAGAGAAATGTTTTTCTCATATTATGTTAATTATTCTACGTACCCCCGGAAACACCGCCTCGAAAATATTTGAAACCAAACCAGCTCTACCAATTCAAAACACTTTCCCTTCCTACGACAATCAGGTCTATATAAACGATACGAACTCGGATTTATATCCGACCAAAGGCTGTCAAGTCAGCAGCACTCCTCAAAATTATTTGGAAAACATTCTACAATAAGAATGCCATTTCGTAGTATGATTGATCTTTCACTTCGAAATTTGTCGGTGATTTCATTCCAGCGAGCTTTCTCTTTAACTTTGAGAACGCAAAAAGTCGTATTTGGGTCCAAATTCACGCTATATTATAGTTACTGTTGATGATTTTTCCCTTTCTAAGGTCTGCGATGCAAAGTTTTCCATGCGTGTGAAAGAATACTGAGGTCGTAACTTTGCCAGCTGAATTTTGTGTCTTTCCATCGTTAAGTTTGGTTCTTAGCATGCAGTCAATTCGAATGACTATGAATTAGACCTCGATGCAAAATGATAGAAACATGTTTCGTCCATTGTAACATATCAACGGAAAACTTCTGAACTATTTGACTGGATTCGACAACTCCAAAAACCGAGCAGAAGCAACAATTGGTTGAGGTTTTTGATAAATTTTTAATTAAAGTGGTTTAGAAACTTTCTGTATTTACATACATGACTTGCTTTGAACCATGGTACTGGTCAAGAAATTTGCAACTAGAATTTTCGATCTGGAAATATACTAGTCCGAAAAAAGACCTGACTTTTTATAGCAAGATTACATTTCTTGAACGATTTAAGTTCAAATCTAGAATTTAGTTAATTTATCAACTGATTTAAAACTAGAATATTCTTGACTAGTTACCCTTGGTGTTCATACTAGTTGTAAAGTAGTTTCTAACTAGTTCATTTCACTGCAGGGTACATACGTAAAAGTTGACGATGATGCGGATTTATGCAAGCATAACAATATGAATTTTGTATAAATTTCAGTAAAACATAACAAACTGCATTAAGAGGCTATTAAACTTTTAGAGTGGAAAATAAAGCGAAACAAGGTCAAAGCGTTGCTTAAACACAGTGCCATTTACTAAAG